TAAGTTTGCCTTTGTGTGTGGACTCAATTCTTCGTTGCAGTTGTTATGAGTTAAAAGGATTTTAGTATAAAGAGACTTCTTAAACACTGAAACACAAGTTCACATCAAAACTTAAAATTTCAGCAAACTTCCTCTAAATAGCCAGGAAAAGGATTTAATGAAATGCTAAGGAAGAAATTGCGAATGGTGATGCTGAAGATAGGAACTGATGTTGCACTTTATAGTTCGGGGCTCTTTGTTATAACAAAAGGTTTTCTTAGATCACAATTATTGTAGTAGATTTTATTTTTAACACTGGTATTTGATTTATGAATTGATGGTTCTGTGTGGAAAGTCATTTGGCAAATTAGATTTACTGGGTTTTTTTTGTATGGTATTTTTTCTGGTGTCTCTAAGTGCAGTTTGGGATTTAATTTATCCATTTGATCAGTCAGTATTTTTGAATGGCTTTGTTTCTTCTTTTTTTTTTATGAAGTATAGTTCTTAGTTTATGTACTTCGTAATTGTGACTCTAGCTTCAGTTGATACAGTCAGCTTCTCTAAGAGACTTCAGTCTTTGTGCCCCTCCCTTGAGCTGTAAGGTCTGGCAATGAAAGATAAAGCAATTTGAAATTCATAAGGCACTCAAAGGGGCAAATGTATGTTGTAATTGAAATTGCGGTAGTATGTGTTTTACTGAATTCACACAGCTGTAATATATTTTAAAGTCCCTTAGGGAAACATAAAGGGCAGCGGGATCTAAACTGTTCTCAGTGGTTTTCAACATTTCCCATTTCTTATCATATTTGTTTGTTTCTAGGAAAGGAAAGGAGATGCTACATTTTTTCCAGCACATGTGAAGTTGTTGCAGGAGCTGAGCTGACTCCATATCTTTCAAACCACATCCAGAGTTGGAGTGAGAGCCAGACCTACTGGCATTTTTCTTTCAGTGTTCCTGTTATATAGAAAAATTATTATCTCAGTGGGGAAGAAATGAAAATATCAGTTGACCAATTGAAGCAATTGTATCTATTTAAAGTTCTATTCTATTTGGAGAGTTGGGGGAAACATTTAACGATTTTGTTTTCCTTTTTGTAGGAATAAAAAACTACTCCAACTGGCCTACCATCCCACAAGTATACCTCAATGGTGAATTCGTTGGTGGCTGTGATATCCTCCTCCAGATGCATCAGAATGGAGATCTCGTAGAAGAGCTAAAGAAGTTAGGAATCCGCTCAGCACTTCTGGATGCAGAAAAAGACCAAGAAAAAAAGTAAAATGAGGAAAAGAAAAAGATGCTTTGATGGGAAGAAAGGAAATCTTTGATAAGAACTTGTAACCAGTAAAGCCTTATGTACTTCAGTTCAAAGAAGGCATCTTTTTAAACTGACACTAAGATTTATCAGTGGATGTCTGTTAGCTCATGGTAAATGTAGTGGTGTCAGTATTTTGATTTATGGATATTGTGGAAAATTTGATTATAACCACTGTACTGTAAAGCATACACATGTGGAAATTATTTTGAAAAAAAAGTAAAAAAAAAAAAGTTCACTTCTGAAAGCATTATTTTGATTGATGCAGGAGTAAACCAAAATAACTAATAATGCTATTTTTATTGATTTTGAGTGTTTCTTTGTTCTCTGTTATACAAACCTGTGCAAACAGTGTTTGCATTCCCTTGCTCTTGAAAAAGTGCTAAGTAGTGCTAGTGCATCTGTGGGTTTTCTTCTTTTTGTTTTTTATAACTCCTGATGATAAGAATCCCAAAAGCCTGTAAAGTTTCTACTATCTCACATCAAATAGGAGAAAACAGTCCTTAAATAATACATAAGAAATCATGGTATGAGAGTGCATGAAATACACTTTTGTTCCAAAGGGTAAAAATAAACACACTAGTACAAATACACGTATAGTGGTCATTATTACTTTGTATCTTCCTCTTAGCTTTTAAAGGACTGCTATGAATTGTGCCTGAAGATTTTTTTTTATAAAACCTTTTCTACCTCTTGCAAAATGGCTTTTCCCTGTTTATATACTTTATGTACTGCAGTTTTCTCTGTGTCAGTTCTAGAATGTGGGAGTTGTTAAGGCTTCAGTATTCTTGTTTGCAATAGTACAGAAGAATACTTCAGTGATTACTGTATTATTTGCTAGTTACTAAGTTAGCTTTTTAGATGTGTTGTGTTTCCAAGTATTGTCTCTGAACAGCTGTGGTTCATGGAGTATGATCTTCCAGCAGGGGTTAAACAGTTTAAAGTTTCATTGGAGACAAGATTAAAAAGTTCAGCAGGGCTACTGAAAATAGCCAAAGTGTTCCTTTGTTGGAAGCTCTGGGAAGTCTTCAAATAACTATCTAACCTTGTTTTCCCAAGGTTTTTTTCCCAAAATAAATCTTAAACAGTGTAGCTTCACCTATACAGTAATACTGCTAAGGATAAAAGTTAACCACACTGTTTTTAAATGCCATTTACCTTTATGAATGCAGCCCAAGGAATGGTTTGCATGTGAGCTAAGCAAGTGATTGGAAATAAAGTGTTTTATGTAGATTGCCTGCAATAGTTCCTTTTTATTTTAAATTACTATAATGAAACTGATGCTGCTTTTAATGTGAAAACTTAAGGAAGAAGAAAAACCCTCACTGGAAGAGGAGCTCAGGATTGTAACTGGTAGATGGGGGTTTTAATGCAAGTTTCAATTTTATCTCTTTCATGTTCACCAGAGCAAGCTGTCTAGTAGGGAAACGATGTCCCAGCTTGAACAGAATTTACAAATTGTGTGCTGGTTAAGTATGTTTATTGTATAGTTTACTGTTTAGCTCAAATGCAGTCAGTATCTTTATGCTTAAATAGCATTTCAGCTTAAACAGGCACTCAGCTTCACTACCAGTAGAAGTGACTTTAGCATGAACGCTGATTATGAATAAGCTGTTTTGCTCAGAGGCAGCCAGTTGTGATTGTTAGTAATGTATGTATGAGTGCATGATTTGTTGTTGTTGTTCATACATCATATCACATGAAATGCAAAGCTCTAATTCAGTTTAACCTCTTAAAATTCTGATTAAATGAGTTTTCTTACAGCTAGTCTTTCATGAGTGGTTTTTGCCATTTTAAATGTAAGATGAGGTTTGGAAAAATAAATAAATTTCAAAAGCTTTTTGGTTATTTGTGTCAAAAGACCAATTGAGATGGATGTACATTGTCAACAAAGAATAAGGTAACTTGAAGTAAAGCTAATCATTTTCTACTTTAGTGTTTAATTCTTAGTCTGGCTACTACATCTACTTAAACAGCTGTTTCATGGAGCTTTATTCTTTTGTGAATGTTGAATATATTTCAGTATTATCTGCTGCTGCTTTAACATAAAGGTGATTTTAGCATTGTCAGATCTTTTTTCTCTGAGTAGCGTTTTTTTCTCCCTGCACAAGCTGCTACTAAAACTATGAACAGTTTTTTTTACTTTCTCTATGTCTTCCTTAAAAAAAAAAAAATTATAAATACATAGTGGTGTTTATATAAATTCTTGGCTTAATTAGAATATTGAAACTGAGCAAGTGAAAAGGAAGAATGATACCAAAAAGCCACAGGAACGGCATAAAATTTGCCTGCATTCCTGGAGAAGATGCGTCTTTCCAGGCTCTGTGCATGTGAGCTGTTGTTTTACTTGTTACGTCTGTGTAGATGCTCATGCAAATCTCACTGCAATGAAACAAAAATTCTCTACTTAAGTGATAAAACTTTGATTGCCTACGAAGAAGCTTATTTTGAGAGTTAATTGAGAATTTCCCCAACAATTTAATTCTCTGGTTGATTGTTTTAGAAAACTGGTGCTACTCCTTTAAGGGAAAAAGAAAAAAGGTATCGTTGATGAATGGTTTGCACCTGTTATTCTCATTTTTAAAGAGAGAACAGCTGCTAATGGTGGTGTCTGGAGTGTCAGTTAATGGATGTACCAAGTAAGTTCTTAGGGATGTGAGCTTGAGGAGTCTGTGGTCTGGAGGATGTGAAGAGTTGGGAGGGAGAAAGGATGACTGCGCACAGTAGGAAATATCACAGCAGGCAGCAAGGGAGGGAATGATGCAGGAAGTATTGGGAAAACCACTGGGTACTCATCGCTATACAATAAAATAGTGCTTGGGAAGGCTGAAGATACCAAGGAGGATGACTGAGAGCCGGCACAGAGCTCGCCTTGCTCTCTGTCTCTGAAGAAAGAAGCAAAGCTACCTGCTCCTGAAGTTTGCCATTGTACAAATACATCTCTGTACAACAACAATCAAGGCTGCCACCTGGATTGCCACCTGCACAGCTTCTGATCAATGTTGGCCATGTCATAAATCCCCTGAGTCCCAGTACTGCACTCTTCAGTTCTCATATGCAACCCCAGGTATGTGTTCTAGCTGACTGCCTCCAGCAAGCTGCTTCTTGGCTCATTTGGGCTGTGCTGCACTGCTGAGGGCTTGCAATGAGAGGAATGTGTGTAAACCATTAACTGCTATTCTGCTACTATAGTACTCTATTCCAAACATTTACCAAACTGGAAAGTTTCCTACTATTATTGTAACTTATATACTGAAACTGATATTTTCAGGGTACTCCTTTGGTAATGTTGCTGTGGTAAAGGGCTGAACAGAATGGACCACATACTCACATAAATTAAGGTAATCCTTTGCATCTGTTAACACCTCTCACTTGTCACACATAAAATGAGGTGGTTTGATTTAAGCAAATGAAATCCTTTATTGAGTATGTGCAAGCTGTTTCCTCATCAGTTAAACCTTTAGCAAAGTGGGGTGGGCTTCCTTGATCTTACTGAGTTAGTCACGAGGCAGATGGAAGAAGGCTACAACTGTCAGTTTGTTGTGTTGCTAGTTTTTATTTAGGGGAATTCAAATCAGTTTGACTGAAAACTACTTCCTAGAAAAGTTGTGACCAGCTCCCAGCATACGAATGGATTGCAGGGTGTAGCAGAAATGCTGAGTCATGGCCTGAACCACTGATTGAGCACCTGGTGGGAAGGCGGGCCAACACAGGGGAGCGCAGGTGCATGCAGTGCAGCTGAGTGACTGGAAGGGTTCCAGGGAACCAGGATCCACTCCTTCCCACACCTCATTTAAGGTTGGCAGTAGAGGTGAGGGTATCCTACTCGAGATCTCTGCAAACCTGAGGTTTTCTGCAGGTTAGTAGCTTTTTTCTTCTGTTTCTGTTCTCACATTGAACAAATCCTGCTTCGATGCAGTGTAGGGCCTTGTTGCTGTGCTTTTTGGGAGTCTCTCAGGGCTAATGAAGTGTGAAGGAAATAAAGTGTGGGGAGTGGGAAAGCAGAGAATTGTACCAAGGAAAGCCTCTCTGAGCTGCCTGAATCTAGTTAAGGCCTTTTTGGTGCCTGCATCTAAGAAGGGTGGTATCAAAATGCAAACTGCTGTTTGAGTAATAAGTCTCTGTCTAATTCAGTTTGTAAAAATGCAAAACCCAGCTCTCCTTATGACAGGTATTTCAACATCAATGTTACAGGGTTGTGCAAGGAAAAAATGTTTATTTGTTATGAGGCAAGCACAGGTTCTTCAAGTCTCTGAGAGTAAAGGTGGAAAGATGATGGGGAGGGTTAGAGGGTTTGAAGCATTTGGGTTGTTCATGGTGTTGGCTGGTGTATCAACTTCCCTTCTCATCTGAATGGATGATCATCCAGTTTCTCACTACTGTTTTGTTTTTCTGGAAGTGAAGGTGGTTTTAGCTGGGCTGTTGTATAAAACTTGTGGTTGCTGTAGAGTGAGCCTGAGAAGAAAAGAGTAGTTTTGCATATAAAGAACTGGATGTCTTCATAGTTTCTATAATCCCTTCGATGAACCCGCCATCAGAAATGCTGGCAGGGCAGCAGGCTGCTGGCTTATCCTTCCTCTCAACAATAAAGAAAGCCTTTTAAGGGCAGCTTTCATTCTTAAATTATTTAAATGCTTTAAGGCCTTTCAGAACAGAATAAATAAGCACACCGGACTTTTTAATAGAGCGAGTCACTTAAAGCTTGCTTTTGAGCTGTTGTAGTATGTACCATAACTTCTGAAGTATTTTATTAACTTCATTCAGGAACATCTATATTAATTTGATAAATTAATCCTCACAAGTGATGGGGAAATGGTATTTTTTTTTTTTTTTAGTTGCAGTCATTCTACATGTGAAGCTATGTGAGTACTACTATGCATATATAGTGAGACACTTGCATTTGTTTCTATAGCTCTCTGCTGTCTTTCCTAATGTAAAGCTTCCACAGGTGGTTGATTTAACATCTTTTAAAGATGAGCTCCTGTAAAATTTTACTTTGTGTTTAATAGTAAGATGAATCAAAAGAGCTTTGCAGTATCAAATTTAGAAGAAATGTTAAATCACACTTTTTGTTATATGAGTCCATTCTTGAAGGTCCAAAGAATTTTTCTGTACAGTTTAGCTTCAAAACCATGAAATAGAGCACTCACGCGTTCGTTTCACAGGCCACAGTATACTGAAGCACATTTAAGTGATTTGCTAGTCATACTGTAAATGCTACAAAACTGAGAAAAAAGTTTTGTAGTCTTTTGTCTCAAGCCTATGATCCAGTAAGTGAAATGTGTTTTTAAAGCGTATATCAGTGAGCATTTTTGAGTTCTCATGTGAAATCCACACTACAGTCTGTATTCTTTAAATACTACTTATCAGCCAAGAACTCCCTGCTGAGCAGCAATACCATGAAAACCAGTGTTTCTGGTCTCTGCTGCAGCACTCAGAGCCTGGCTTGAGGCTGGATCCTGCTGCCGAACCACCCAGAAGGTGGTGCTCTTGAACCGGAGATAGGCGCAGTGCTGACCCAGAGGCATCCCCAAACGCAGCCCTGCCTGTTTTCCCTTTGTGTTGTATGCTCTTTTTTGGGGTTCCCATTTCCTCTGGGGAGAAGAATGTGACGATGTTGAGCCCGGAGCATATTCCTATCTGATCCATAATGCGATTTCCAGCCTGGTGATCCTACGCCCCTGCCTGAAATGACGCTGGTGCTTGTAGGAGGTGTTTTTCTCTGGGCTGTGAGACTAGTGAGATGCTGAAGCTGAGCACGGAACAGATTCGCAGCTGATTGCCCTGATTGGAGCCTGGGAGGTGCTGTGCCCAAGTCAAGCATCCAAAGGGTGCCAACTGCATTGCTGCCAAGGTTGGGAAAAGCGTGGCCGTGTTTGGGGCTCCCTGTGGCCTCCTCACTGGGACAGCCTTTCACCATTGACACGTGTCTCAGAGGTAAGGGTGGGTCCGTGTTGGTGGGGGCCTGAGTTTGGCCCCATGGTGCTATTAGGCTACCATCCCCTGGGACGCATAGCGCACGAGGGGTTGAGGTGCCACTTGGGCATGCAGCTTGGAGATACCCTCACTGAGGTGGGAAGGGGGAATTTGGATGTGGTTTGGAATATAGTGTCTGAGTGGGGAGTGGCAAGAAGTCAGGTGGCTGCAGTGGAGTTTTCTGCTGATTTGCCATCTTCTTGTTGGTTTCAGGGGCTTTAAATTGGGTTGGAAATGACCAAAAGTAGCCAGATCTGAGCAGCCAGTGCCCGGGTGGGCCTTGGTAGAATGGGAAATAGAAAAGTTCTTAGCAGCCTCTTTCCTTAATTGCCAGAGGACTTATCACTTTTTTTTTTGCAAATGTATCCAATGAGTGAGGTTTTGTTTTATATAAATTCACTAAGTCTTTTACCTGTTTTCTATCTGAGCTGGCACCACCAAATCAGATCTTTATGCACTCAAGCAGAGGAAGGCAGCAGAGGAGGCTGCTGCTGTTGGGGTGGCTTACAGGGCCTGGATATATAAGCTGCACCCTGTCTTGGAAGCTTGACAAGCTCACTTCTGCTGCTCTGTGGCTGCAGGGAGCATGTGGTGGGTGCAGGATAACAGAGCCACTGCTTACAGCCCTGCTGGGGCCAATCCATGATGCCAGGGTTACCCTCAATGTGCTGTGTGTCTTCTCTTCCTGAGTAGTTAACAATAAATCAATGCTTAGCTTTACTAGCGGCAGACAGAGCGGTGTTAATTCTTGCTGTTTTTTTCATGGCCAGAGGTAATTTTTTCTTTTCTTTAAGTTCTCAATTATTTGCTCTCAATTATTTGCTGCCAATAAATGATTTAAAGCTCTGCCAGTGCATTTTGGGGTCTTCTACTGCTTGAGTAATCACTTGGCAGCTCAAGGAGGGGGAGCTGGGTAGGGATGGTGGGGCAGTTCTGTTGCCTGCTAGTAATGAGGCCTTGTCAGCAAGAGGGAATTAAAGGAAAATTAAAAGAAGCTTCTACCTGTTTAGTAATAAGTAAAACAGAATGAAGTAGCCTGAAGCCAGCTTGCTCAGACACCTTTACTTCTTGGGGAGATGAGGTATGATTCAGCCAGCCCTGCTGAAAAGCTGTTCAGTTCTGTGGGGCAAATGAAGCCTGACCTCAGCCACCAAGGACTGAGAGCTATGAACAGGAGAGGAAGGATCTACGATTCACATGGTGACTTCAGCTCAATCAACACAGTCCTGCACAATTCTAAGAAAAATAACCTCATCTTATATTTGAAAGGGGTATCTGGGCTGGCACCAGGCTGTAGCAAACATACTCTGTTTTAGGAGCTCTACATTTAGCACTAAAGTCTCTTGGATAAAACAAAGTGCTCTAAGAATCAGAATAATGACTCAAACCTGGGTGACTTATCTCCTCCAAGACCTCAAGCCATCAAGAGTTAATCCTTCGCATTGCCATTCTTCCTGAGCTGAGAACCCTGCTCCAACAAGAGGGAGAGTGTGTGTGCCTCTTCTTGGTAGTTGTCACCCCAGCTTGTGGCTGGGTGCTTCCTGCAATTTGGGCCATGCTGGTTGGGCCTCCCTTGTGTGCAGCCTTGCTGTGTCCAAATGCAAGTAAAGGCAGCTTCTGTCATCAGGTTGTTGCTGGTGTAGGTGACGTGCTCCAGGTTGTCTACCCACTGCCTGGCTTCTGCTTCTGGCAAGTCTAAACAAGGTGTATGTACCTGTCTATTTAGCCTGAAGCAAAGTCAATGTAGGTATGGGGTTTCAGATCAAAGTTACCTGTTTTACCTGTTATCATCCTGATAGTTGGCTCTTGATCCTAAGCAATGTGCAGGAAGGAATTCAAGACACTGGTTGGTCTCAAGCTGCTTTAACATAATATAGTCCTGTAGTTTGGTGAGAGAGGAAGAACTGGAAGTGATGGTGAAATCTGAACTTCAGAGTGAGCAGATTTCAGTAACACAGGGTTAATCAGGAAAACTTCTCGGGAAGAAATATAGGAAAAAAATCTATAAAGATGCCACAGATTGAAGTGAAGAATGGATAATAGAATCTGGAGGATATATATGTTGCTGAAGAAAACTATATTAGGCAGGAAAAGAGTTAATCAGTACAACTGAATGGCAGGCTTGAGAGGTTTGTTGGGTTTTCTGTTGGTTTTTTTTTTTTTTTTTTGAACCAAAAGGAAATCATTCCAAACTTGAAAACATAACCTAAGCTTTCCTGTACATTCATGCATTAATTAGTGTAAGGACTCAGTGTGACGGGGAATTAAAAGGAAATGGAGACTGCAAGTAACTAGAGGGGTAAAATAAAAATACTTCAGGTTTATTCTTACTCTGTCAAATGATAACTGGTAGTTCAGAAACTGGATCACTGAAGACTAAAGCTAGAAATTAAAGAAGATAAAGACATTGCTGAGAATCTAAATGATTTCCTTGCATCAGTCTTCAGCACTGAGAATATTAGAGCCATACCCACTGGGACTTGCTCTTTCCTAGTAATCAAGATGTGTCAGAAGAAGAGCTGGAACAAATCAATAATTTAAAAATCAGTAAGTCACCAGCTCCAGATGATACTTTAAAGAGTTCTGGTGGAACTCAGTATGAGATAGCTGAACTGCAGCAAAAACGTGCTTTCTGTAATTAAAAATAGCTATTTTGTTGGAGAAATTGGAGGTAACAATTACATCTGTAATTTAAAAACAGAACTGAGGTGGTCTGTGGAAGCATACTGTTTACCCAGCAATACTTTTCTGCTTTATAAGCTGGTTGGAAAGGGCACGGAAAGTAGGTGTGGAAAAAAATCCAAAAGTAATTTAAAAGAGAAGGGAAGGTAGTAACATTTTAGGATCTAAAGAATAAGGCTTCTACATCTTACAATTATTCCTCACCTATTTTTGTTATTATTCCAGCTGACCTAATCGAGTTACGGACAAAGAAGAGGCAATTACTCTAATTTAGCTAAACATCAAAGCACCTTTGACCTGTGTAGGATATTGTAAATTGGAGAGGGGGGAGCTTATTACATAGATTTTGGCTTATGGGACCAGGCTGGGCTGAATGTTCACAAAGGCCTGACTATCCTTGTCACTTCCATGCTGCATTGGACCTGTGGCATTACTTCTCTGGGATGGTGTGATCCCACTCAGGTGACACCACGACCCACTTCCAGATGCCCAAAGAACTGAGAAACCAAGAATGGGAGGGTTATCCATTTCAAGCCTCTGAGAAAGATGCAGGAACTCTGCTAACCTAAGTTGGGGTAGGGGTCAGAAAAGGTGAATATTGGTAAGAAAGCTGACGTGCAGAGGTTTTTCTGAGGAACTGGAAAGGAATTGAGATCCAAAGTGGGGATTGCTAAGTCAGTGGAAAGAAAGTCTCTTTCTACAGCATAGAAATGTGCTGCTGCTTTCGGATGATGTGGAATGATTTTTTTTTTAAACTATCAGAAGAAATCACTGCAGTTTTCATCAACTTTAGCCAGTGTGGGTGTGGTTTTTAGTATATCTCAGGACTACTACATCCTAATTTCTGTTACTTATTCTTTTGTTTTTGCCTTTGCAAATCCTCCTACTGTTTCTTCTCATTTCTATTTCCACGTGTTCTAAGATCCCCCTTCCCTCTCCTCTCTCACCCAAATGTGAGGATGCTGCCCCTCACATCACTGCCAGCCAGCTCACAGCTGTATTGACTCTAGTGCAGAGCCACTCAATTAGGCCTGCACTGCTAATTAGAAAGCATAGGATGTAATGTCTTGCTTTAAAAATCTGTACGTCTCAATATGCATTGTACTCTGCTGATTGGGAAATGCTGATTTATAGCAATGTTAAAAGATGCAATCTAAAAAACCCAAACAGATTTACAGGCTTCTGAAATAGCTCTGTTGCCTTTTTCTGCACTGCTCTGTACAATTATTTTCACATCAGTAGCTTCCAGTCTCAGCATTTCTAGTATTTCACTGGGCATTTTGTAGGGAGCAGTGTCAACCACAAGATGCCAGGAGAAATGTTATATTATGGATGATAAATGAGAATGTAGACTTTAAGAAATCAGTTTCACACTTACATTTAAATTTTCTGTGCAGTCATAGAAAAGAGGAAATGGTGGTGTGCATGTGTCCAGAGCACCTTTCAAATCAGCTGATTTAGATGCTAGCTTGGTCTGTGCTGTGCTGCCATGGCTAGAGCTGCCTGATTCTGATACTCTGCTTCCTGAATCCCCAGGGTCCTGCTGCTCAGCTGTCTCAGTGATCCTCCATGGGAAATGTCTCCCTTCTATTAGCACACAATGCTGTAGTTTACATTGTCACAGTAATTCAGCAGCTTGGAATGACAGTTTGGAAAGGTGTAGGCTTGTGAGTGTTCTCCAAATTCAAGTACAGGCAAATTGTTAATCCTTCAGGCTTGTTAGGTTTGTGTCCCACATTGCCATTTATGAAAGTGCCTGGTAACCGTGTTTGTTGTGCGAGAGAACTAAGACCTTATAGATTTTATGAACCACTTGTACATAAATACCTCCATCAAATGCTTCTCTAGAGCTTGTTTCCATGCCTGAGACTCAGACCAACACAAAGAGGTTGTGTTCCCTCTGCATCAGCAAAACAGCAGGCAGCTCTGATGTCTCTTCCCACATCCAAAGCTCCTCTGGGCTGGGTAATACAATAAAGTGTTGGAACTGTTGTTTGAGCAATTCTTAATTTCTCAAAGCCACTTTACTCATCATTAAGACATGGAAAACTTTCCTCCTTACTAGGAGGGCCATAGAGTGCAAAGTAGTGATTGTAAGCACGGGTTTGAGGAGAACTTTGTGTTTGTTTGATTATCAATAACATCAACTGAACTCCCTTAGACATCTTAAGTTATAAATGTTTGGCTTGGCTCCTGCTGGCACAAAACAGAGTTCTGTGATCATACTTGTCCAAATAAGGCAAATGGTGCCTATACAGTTGGTTGTTTCCTGACTTCTCAATACTTATAGTTGAAGGCTGGGACTCTGAGCTAGTGGACAAATTTTTTTTTTTTTTTTTCCAAAAAACTCTGGACTGTAAGAGTGAAATGTGAGGTCTGAGAGAAACGGTTCTGGTCATTTATTCTAGTTTTTCTACTTGGTGATGCCAAAGTTGAAGGTAAACCACAGCCAATTTTTATATATTTTTTTTTTCACCAAGAGTTGCATTATTTTGCATGGTCAGTCTGAATTTCCAGAATTGCTGATTTCAGCTGGAACTGCAGGTGCTTGGTTGATTTGAAAATCAGGCCTAGGGTTTTTAAAGTCAGGCAAAGAGCCACAATGTAATTCTGGCACTGATGGAATGGTTGTTCTTCCTTTTACATGGGTCCTCTTATTTCAATGGCTTTAGGGATTAAAAATACTGAAACCTTGCTGTTTAAAATCTTTTCCAATTTGAAGCAAGCTAAACTCTATCAAGAAGTGCCTAAGTTCAACATGAGACAATACAGCTCCCAAATGGAATGCCCAGCAGGCATCTCAGCTCCTCTACACAGAACATTATTTGACACTTTCTTTTTTCTTTGTGGAGATCACAAACAATGCATGATGGAGTGCTGAGGCATCCTATGTAAGGAGAATTGGGAACTAATATTCTGAGTGGATGGCAGGAACTTACTAATTTGAGTATTACTAAGAAGGCAAATCCTCATTTCATGGTGTCAGTAGTTGGGTTAATGCTATATTCTGTTCACTGTCACTTTCTCATTTGCCATCTTGCTTTTACAATCTGGATCTCTCCACTTAGATCTTCTGAAAACATGTTTACCTTGTTTTGGTATGCAAAGCAGTTCCAGCAAGTCGTGGAGACTTTGGGGGACTTATTTGACTTTGAACTCAAATCCTGGAGGATGGAGATATAGAACTATAATTGGTTTCTCAGTGTTGATTTTCTCCTCCTATTAGTTGACTTGCTGCTCGGTGATTCACTCAGTTAACTTTAGATTGGCTCAAGAGATTGAAAAGCCCTTTCATGCACTCATATTTTAAATGTCTCCTTCTATTCCTTTACAAACAGACAATTGAACAATAATGACTTTGAACCCAAAGCACTATTTGTTTTACCATAGTGAGATGTAACTGAAACCATCCAAAGTTTTGAGTAGTTGTTAAGAAAATGATGTACTCTTTTTCAAACTATGCTGCTGCTTTGGATGATATGCTTTGCTACAGCTAAACAAATATGTATTACTTCTATTATCATAATAATACAAACCTATATGCTTTGAAATTCGGATGTGCTTCCTTTTTTCCTGCTTTTAATTAGGGCAGAACAAGCAGTTCAGGAGGAGACTCTGGCCTTTTATAGCAGCTCATGCTGGGGCAGTAGTCATGATGCTAAGCAAGAATCAAAGAGACCCTATAGGCTTCTACAGGAGATACAACTTTCAGTTCAAAGTCTCGGGCTCTATTTCCTGATAAATCAATGGAATAACACTACTTAACTGAGTAGGGTTTGTCCTTGACCCTGTTTTGTCCACTGAGCAGTCGTTATGAGTGACCAGTGATATTTGATTTGTTTCAGCTGTCTCTGTGTCCTCCTTGGGAAAGCAGTCTGTTTTTGTTGGAATTAGTTTTGTTGTTGAACTTCTACATTGCAACTGGCAATGGTCTTCTGGGTGATGACTCTAACATGAGAGCTGAGCAAACATTTATTTGTATAGAGATGTCTGTAGAAAACAGCTGTCTGTGCTTGATCACAGTCAGTTATGATTAATCTGTGCATTCATTGGTGTCCAAAGAGGTATGCAGGCATGAGGGTTCAGTTCAATTACTGAAGCACGGCTGATAGGTGCTGTTTGGGATACCCTGGAGTAAATGAAATGCCCATAGTGTTGCAGGTTTGGCACAGAACTTCTGTTGTCAATCAAGCCCAGGTGTTGTCTTGACAGAAAGTTGAATTGCTCTCAATTGCCTGTATGCTGTATTGGTAAAATCTTTCAGCAGTGGGAATCTGGACTCATCACTCACTTGTAGACAACTGGATGAAGACATCTTCACCTACAAATGAATCCAGTCTGTTATGGCTAAAGATACAGATATAGATCCCAGAGGTAGCCTAAAGATAAATATTCAGATAAGGAGCTTCAGAGGGCAATGTATTCAGACTATTTTTTAATACCTTTTATAGGATGAAATGGATTGTCTTTGGAAAGTGCCTTTCATCAAACTGGCTACAAAAAGACTAATCATATTAGCTGTTTAAATTTCAGGTGGCTAAAAGGAAGAGTAGTACCTAGTACTCCTTCTTTTGTTCAAATGTAATCCTTTTAACTCCACTGCCCCAGAAATGGCTTTCTTTAGAAAAAGGCCGCAGAGATTGTGTGGGAGTCTCATTAATGATATTCTGAACCTCAAGAGCATCTTAAGTATTTCTAACTTTGCAAACTTAATTTGACTTAAAGTTGGTTGGAACCAAGCTAAGCATATAATAAAGGCTTACTGTTTTTCTTCTCCAGATAAAACATCATAACTTTACAGCACGCATTCACATAAGAAAAATGTGTATATGGAAATGAGAATACTCCTTTGCTCTAATCCTCTGGACAATTCCAGTCTTTGCAGATCTGGGTAGTAGTATCTCTTCCTCTTGCCTTCCTTCCTTCTGAAAAATAAAAATCCCACTAAGGTTGGTTTGGGAGATGTACAAACCATGAGAGCTGCTGTGGGATTGACTGGGGAAATTTAGTGTGGGAGTAATGATGTTTTCAAATTAAGGCTGTCTGACCCAATGCTCTTTATAGACTTATCTCATTTAGAAGCTTTAGTGAATTATATGGTCAAAGTTTTGAAAAGAGTTGAGAAGGGAAAAACTAGGACAACTGAAAAAGTGCAAGAAAAATAAATGTCTGAAAAGTGCCACGACTACAGCGTAAATTCAGAATTCACTGTTTGCTCTGGGGACATGGGGAAGTTATAGCAGCAAATATGTTAATACTTGATGCCTGTAAACTGAGTTGATTCCAGTGGGATTAATTTTGCTTGTACTAATGAGAATCCAGTTCTCACTAGTGTGGGATGATGGCTCTTCTGAGATAGTGATGGTATCAACTTGATACATCATTAAACAATATTATTTTCCTTCTGTAATTGATAAGAATATAACCACCTTCAGGTGCTTTGATTAGTTTAGCTTTTTTGTCTGTATATAGACCATAAGAATGCCTAGAACTTCAAACTGATCCAAGTAATTTATTTGTGATTTTACATATAAATAAATGCACATTTTCCTATGTATCAAGTAGCATGCATAGAGTTATTGGGATGAATGAGCCAAGCAGATCCTGGCAGCCAGGTCTGTCTTGATCATCCCTATTCTGCGCCTAGATCCATGCCGTGGGGCATTTATGTCTGTACAGACTTCTAGGGAAACTGAGCAACGTACTGCTACTAAATTGACGTTTGTATTCCAGTTGTGCCTTGTCTGATCTTACAGCTTGTAACGAAATGATCACCACAACAACATGATGCCAGGAACAGCGCCAGGCTCTTGAAGCCCGTCTCTGGTAGAGGATTCCTACTGCAGCTCTCTAGCAAAATCAAGAACTGAATCCAGATTCCTTGGTTGCAACTCTGTACTAGAAAGACAAGGCTGTCTGCAATAATTCTGCATGTACATAGAACTAGATAGTCATCAGGGTAGGTTTTCCTCCACATTTTCATTGTAGTCCACGCTGTCCACTAAAACTATTGCCAAGGCTTGTTCTGTGCAAATACATTTCTGCCATCGCTCCCCATTTCTCTGGAGATCTGCTAAGTTGTTGGAAATGAGCCCACAGTAGTTAGTGAGGGCGCCAACTACAAGGACCCTATTGTTTGTCCCATCATCACGGCCATTGGTTGCTTTCCTGGTGGGCTTTGACATCCCTTGCAGTCTTGCTGAGCTTCCTCTGGACTCATTGTGCAGCTGTGCTAAGCGAGTTTTTTAATATTCTCTTGAATGTTAAGAAGTTTTCCCCCATTTAATTCCTACCTCCTGCAGGAGGGTGACCTTAGTTTTACATTTTTTCTTCTCTGAGTGTTATTAGGTGTAAGTACACATGTCAGTCCTATCAGCTTATTTAGCCTTTCATTTAGTTCTCTACAGATTTTTAAGGTGCCTTCCCTCCCATGTCCAATCTTCTTGATGTTAATTCTTCAGTGTACTATGACACAAAGGTGTTACATTAAATTACAGTAATGAGTTGAACAGTGCTTCCATGGCAGTAGGATTTAGAACAAGTTCTGCTTCTGGAAGCAGCCA